CCAAGGTTGAACTCAAGGGATGTGGCCAATAAGTTTTGGCTTCCAAAGCACGATGACATGCTAATTCTTTATCTTGTAGAATTAGCATTAGATGGGCTAAAGCCAAACAAGAACTTCAAGGTAGAAGCTTATAAAATGACAGCGATGAAAATCAACATGCAATTCAGGGCTGATTTCACTCATATACATGTCATTAACCACTTGAAATGCTTGAGAAATAAATTCAATAACATGAAGGCTTGCCTTGATATAAGTGGAGCCGGGTGGGATGACTTAAATAAAATGATTACACTGGATGACGAAACGCTAAAATCGTGGTCTCAAGTATAACATTCAGCATATTCATTGTCATTACCAATTAATACATTTGGTTCACAACTTATAAATATATTTGTTATTACAGGACAAATCCAAATCTAAGTTGAAAGCATACATAAACAAACCCCTCCCTCACTTCAAAAATTTACAAGTGATCATGGGTGATGACCAAGCTAAGGGTGAATTTGTTAGACCTGTGTATGCTAACATTGGGTCTAGTAGGTAGGTCCATACCTATTGATGATGATGATACTAAGGTTCTAGAGGAGAGTGAGACTACACCACAATCAGATGCTTGTAACAAAAAACAACCTCCTAGACATAAGTCTAAGAGTAAAGACAACATGACTTCATCCTCGAACAAGAAACCTAAAAAATTAAATCGTGAAGAGGAAATGTTATGTTCCTTTGTTGAGTCAATGTCTCAGTCAATGAGAAATCAACACATTGTTCATTTGACTAAGCAGTTGGTTGCAACATTGAAGGAACATAGAGATGAATATTCTGAGGAACTTCTGGACAAGATTTTAGATCACTTGTATGACAATGAACGTGAAGCTAGAAGGGTTTTCATAAAAAGCAAGGAAGGTCAACAGAGGTATATTACCAACATGATTAACGCCCAAGGTTGGTATGTTAACTAATTTGGTCGGTTGGTATAACATGTTGTTGAAACATTTTGTTGTGCACGCGTATATGGTGTTGCGCATATTCTGTTTTGTTATTTGCAAACTATCAATGTTGCAATCTTCTTATTAGGAAAACACAAACACGGCATGTAATTAATGAATTGGTACTCTTTAACTTTCTATGTAGGTAAGTATGTGCAGGCATGAGTAATGACTTCTTAATGTTGCCTTTGGGGTTTTCTATTGCTCACAGGTGAAGCTAATTGTTGCCCCTATTGCTGTGTGTTTTTGGTTGTCAGGTGGAGCTTGTGTAGCTCATTGGGCTCTGTGGGGTTTTGGCTGTTCTTTGGAGCTTGTGTAGCTCCCTGTTTTTTGTTTTGAGCTTATGTAGCTCCCTATCTTTGTGAGGTTTTGGCTGTTTTGCTGGAGCTTGGAGCTTGTATAGCTCCCTATTTTTGGTTTTGAGCTTGTGTAGCCCCCTATCTTTGTGAGGTTTTGGCTTTTTTGCTGGAGCTTGGAGCTTGTGTAGCTCCCTGTATTTTGTTTTGAGCTTGTGTAGCTCCCTACCTTTGTGAGGTTGTGGCTGTTCTTTGAAGCTTGGAGCTTGTGTAGCTCCTTGTTTTGTGGTTTTGAGCCTGTGTAGCTCCTTGTTCTTTTGGTTTTGGCTTTGTGGGGTTTCGACTATTCTTTGAATATGAACTTGGGGTTTGTTGAACACAATTGTAGTGGAGCTTGTGTAGCTCCCTGCCTTTTTGTTGTTGTCGGGTATTTTGAGCTTGTGTAGCTCCCTATCTTTGTGAGGTTGTGGCTGTTCTTTGGAGCTTGGAGCTTGTGTAGCTCCCTTTTTTGTGGTTTTGAGCTTGTGTAGCTCCCTGTTTTTTGGTTTTGGCTTTGTGGGGGTTCCGGCTGTTCTTTGAACATGAACTTGGGGTTTGTTGAACACAATTGTATTGGAGCTTGTATAGCTCCCTACCTTTTTGTTGCTGTCGGGTATTTTGAGCTTGTGTAGCTCCCTATCTTTTTGTTTTTAGCTATATTGTAGGAATTTTATGCATTTGTAGGTGTTGGCATTCTTGTTTTGATGATGATTTAACAAACAATTTACATCTAATATTGTTTGTCTAGTGTTCGTGTTTTGTTATTTATTGTAGACAAACAATATGTTGGAGGATGGATGAAATCAAGCTTTCATAATCATATCCAATGGAGGTTGGCGGAATAGTGGAGTGAAGCCTTGCTATCAAGTTAAAAATCCAATTACAAGCTTCATCCAAGTCTACCAAGTTGAGCTACAATGAAGATCAAGATCAAGCTTAGGTAACATTTAGTTTAGGTTTTATATTATGTGTGTTAAGTACTTTAAGCTCAATCATATATACACATACATTTTATTAGTTTCTATGTATATATATATATATATATATATATATATATATATATATATATATA